TCAGGTCTCTCTGCCCAGTGGAAGCAGAAATAATCTTGTTGACCATAAGTAATACATTTATCTTTTTTTTCCCCTCTCTGAATTCTGAGTAGAAATTTCCAATTTTCTTGACCATAGAAAAATTTTACATTATATCCCTTTTGCTATGCCATTTTGGTTAGGAATGTCAGAGGATGGAAACTGGAGGGATAACCATGATAGACAAGGACACAGTAAGAGGATAAGTAGGAAATAGTAACGACAGTTAAGCTTCCTGGTATTTAACATTGCAACTTTTTTTTAAGTTGAACTGGACACAAAGACTACAAGGGTGTTTGCTATTCAAGGGTTTGAAGGTTGAGGGACATGGAGAGATGTTGGTCAAAGAGTACAAATTTGTACTTTTTAATTTTTTTTTATACGGATGTTTGCTATAGGGCACGTGTGCTCACTGAAGAGCCAGAAACTGAGAAATCACCCCTCGTGGGGAGGGGGGGATGACCGCACCACAATCCCTCCTCCTCCATTCTTGTCTAGGGATCTGGGGCATACACGCACATGTGCCTGGCATGAGTTTCAAGTCCCAAACCATGGCCAACTGCATAGAAGTCCAGCTCCTTAACCACTACACCACTAACTGGCCTCCCAATTTGCACTTATAAGACGAATAAATTTAGAGGACCTAATATACAGCATGGTGAAATTTGCTAAAAGAGTAAATCATAAGTATTCCTACCACACAAATACAGTAACTGTGTGACCTGAGATGTTAATTAGCTTGATGTAGTAATCATTCCATTGGAATGTGTGTATATGTGTGTGTATGTATGTACATACAATATATATACACACACACATCATATCAAACACCTTGAATGTAAACAATTTTTGTAATCTATACCACAATATAATTTGGGAAAATATGTTGTGATATTTTTAATCATTACTCATTTGTTTTTGCTTATTTATTCATTTATTTTCATTTGACCAGAGGGAGACACAAAGTAGTAGGGGGGTAGTGAGAAAGTAAGCTGCCTGGTCTGGGACTCAAACCGCAGTAAGCCATGTGGGAGTCCAACACTTCAAGCACCACACCGCTTGCAGGCCCCATATGTTGTGATTTGCTAAGTAAGTAGGAAATTCTACAAATGTTGCTTTATTGACTAAATTTTTTCTGTGGAAACATTTGAGAAGAAAATAAAATTGCACAATTACTTATATTACCTTTAAAATCTACTGAATATTTATCAACATAATAAAAAAATTTTATCACATATCTGATATTAGAAACAAATATAATTGATATAAAAAATAACTTCTACCTATGGTTAAAAATCTGTTTGTATAGTTTTAAGCTTCTATTACTTTGTTGCAGTGAGGACAGTTAATGACTAACTCATCAGTCCTTCCTCAGCACCATCAGAATAGTCAAATGTCCAGCAAGAAGTGGGCCTTCCCGTCATGGATGACAGAGCATGTAATGCTGTGCTCAGGGGTACAACCCTCCCTCCCCGAGGCTATGCGCTGTGCCACTTGTACTGATGGGGAAAAGGCTACCGGCCAGGTACAAAAGTACAACCAGCCTGGTTATTCAGTTCCCCATGAGCTTCTTTTTTGAAGTTATTACTTTGAAATTCCTCTTCTCCCACGCCAGCCCATGGCCTGGTAGTTACGGCAGCTGGATCCCCACATGGCCTCCTGTGCAGTTAAAGTCCCAGATCCAGCGGTTTGAGAGACACACTGGGAACACGCGCATGCACACACAGGATCTCTAGCAGGGGACGGGACATGGAAGAGAAGCGATTTCTGCACGATCACTCCCCAAGTGCTAGCTTCTTTTCCATCTGTGTCTCCCTCTATCTCTTCCTCTCTCTCTCTCTTTCCTCAGCAGGTATCTGTGCCCTCTGGGGGGAAAAACATCATTTTCTTTTCACCTTTCTATTATGGCTTCTACTAAAAAAGTTTCTTTGACCCAAGTTAAGAGAGTTCTTCCCTACCCTTATTCACACGCCTGCATCCCCACCCTCACACCTTTTTTATTTTGGAGGGTTAGGGGAAAGGATTACTTACAATGCGTCAATCTCATAGAATCAAGCAAGTCCAGCTGTGGATTGTATTTCATTCCACATTGTGTTGAACATTGTGAATGTGCTCCTTTCATGGAGTGTGTGTCTGCATGAAGTTTAACCAAGGATGCATAGGTTTAGAACTGTTGGAGAAGAGACATGAATGACAACGACCTCCCAAGACTGTCACGGGTACTTCACAAAGAACACCAACCTGCACACGATGTACAGAGGAAAGGTAGTCTAACTTGTGAAAGGAGTTCTAAGTTCTACACAGGCCTTTCAAATACAGTATTTCATCTACTTTTTTGAAAATTGAGGTAGAGCAGCAGGGAGTTGTTATCCTTTTCCAGAAAGTTGTTTCAAATTGTCTTGAGAAGCTCCCTAAAATTATATATTGGAAGATTTTTTAATTGCCAGAGGCACATACACTCACCAGAGAGAGGGAGCGACCCCCAGTGGGGTATGGTCACGTTGCAATCCCTTTCCCTCCATCTCTCCATCCATTGAGATTTGGGGGACACATGCAGAAATGTCTGGGGCTGGGATCTGGCTCCCTTAACCGCTAGGCTATGAGAACAGCCCTCTGTTGTAAGAATTTTTTTCCTTTTCGGTTTTTGCCATAGGGTGCATTTGCTCACCAGAGAAGGGAGGGAGAGTGAGAAGTCACCCCTCAGGGGTTTGGCCACACTGGAATCTCTTCTCAACCCTTCTCCTCTTGACATTTTAGGCACAAATGCACAAGTACCCGGTGTAATTTTTAAGCCACTGCATCTGGGACTGGAACCACAGTTAGCCATGTGGGAATCCAGCCGCCTCAACCACCACACCACCTACTGGACCCGTTGGAAGAATTTTTAAGTTTATCTTTTAGGGAGTGATAGGAGTTTAGGAGGGAAGAGATTAAAAACTTAAATGAAGCCACTTTCTAAATCAGAACATGAGTAGGTTAGTGTCATTTTTATCTTGTCTGTATCCAGTATATGCAGTCCTTGTTTTTTGAGGGCTTCATTAAAAAACAAACCAAAAAAGGGACCAGTAGTTAGCATAATGGCTATGTTGCTGGACTCTCACGTAGTTGACTACGCTTTGAGTCCTTGGACTCAGTAGCTTAAACTCACGCCAGGCACGTGTGCGTACATGCCCAAGATCCCAAGAGGAGAATGGACCCGAGGGGAGAAAAAAAGGGATTGTGACGGGGCCCCCCCCGTGGGGGGGGGGGGTGATTTCTCGCTTTCTGTCTCTTTCTCTGTCTCTGGCTGGCTGGTGAGGGCAAGCGCCCTATAGCAAAAACCCCTCCAAAAAAAAATTCTATGCCTTTTGATGAATGTTTATTCTGACACAAGATTATCAGAAACATGTTCTCAAGCCAGTATATATTCTAAAATGTTACTAAAAACAAGATCTTACGATCTTGGGTTTTTTTGTTTTTTTTTTTTTCATTCAATAGCATGAGAGCCAACATAGTCCTTTATACACCGAAGGACAAAACTAGGTTTCCCTGGCTTTCTGTTTTTAAAGCCTTCGGCCTTGCGTGTACTTAGGGCTCAGTTCACTGATGCTGTAGGCTTAAGAGACCACCTTGTATTCCCCAGCAATTCCAGGTGACTGAGAGGCACACATCTGTAAACACTGTCACCTCCTCTTTCTTCCATTGATTTTGAAATGTAGATGGTAGTGGGTTTTTTTTGTTTGTTTTTGTTTGTTTGTTTTTTTTTTTTTTTTTAAAGATGAGGAATAGAAAAATCAAGCATTAGCCTGACAAGATTTCGACAGTAGGTATAAAGAGATTATATCTGGAAGAAAACACCAAGCCTTGAAATCAACAACAAGCAAACAGCAAACCAACCACTGATGGACAATGACTCGTGGGTTTCTAAGCTGAATACCTGTTTTCACTTTGAGCTGAGGAGTACCTGCAGAATATTTTAACCTATGAACATTTTTGTGTTTTCTCTTTTTCTTTACTAAGAGAGAAGGACTCTGGAAAACCAGTGGCGTGCAGAAGAGACGCTGAGATCCGGGCTCTGGTTGGGATAACTTCCTGGGTAGCTGGTTATGCTAGAGGTTCAGCTTCTCCAGGAAACCACAGCACAGCATCTCCTGTTATTTTCTCCAAGGTGTTTGAACTGGTGGATTTCGTCACTCAGCACATGATCACAGGTAGGTGAATTCTTCCGTTTCATCCAAGTCACAAACTGCTCGTGCTTATCTCCAGGGCAGTGACTCCGATGTGCCGTGACAGAATCAGAGCTAAGCTTTAGAACAAAGAGAGAATGTGGCTCGCTTGAAATTCTCAGTCCGCGTATAAACTTTCGTCTTTAAATTCATGAGTACACATATCTCTCCATTGACTCGAACAAAACACATCCCCGTAAGATGTTTTCGATTCGTCTTTTTGCACTTGCGATACCTTACAAGCCGGCCTTTGAGAAGAGACTTGTCAGATTCTTTCCTCATGTAGCCAGTTGACTTCTTTTCCCTCTCCACTACCTCAGAGCACTGAAAATAAATCACGCTTCTCTCACTTCTGCTATTCAGCCTTGTTCATTTTACTTGGTGACATTGTGAAAATGAGGGAGGCTTGGGAGAATAAAATTTGTTCCATTGCACTG